CAGGGGACTGGTCACAAGAAAGGGACAGCTGTGATGTCACAGGGACATCGGTGAAATCACAGGGACATGATGCCACCGGTGGGCACAGTGGTGAAATCATAGGGACAGCAGTGACATCACTGGGGATCAGGGACTTCACAGGGAACTGTTGTCATCAAAGGGACAGCCGTGATGTCACAAGGAAAATTGGTGACATCACAGGGGACTTCAGTGACTTCACAAGGACAAGGATGAAATCACAGTGACACCAGTAACATCATCAGGATCATTGTTGACATCACAGGGGATAGTGGTGACCTCACAGGGCGATGGGTGACATCACTGGGGACCAGTGACATCACAAGGAAATGTTGACAACAAAGGGACAGTCGTGATGTCACAGGGACATCACTGACATCGGTGACATGACAAGGACATGGTGCCATGGCTCGACACAGTGGTGACATCACAGAGACAGCAGTGACATCATTGGGGACATTGTTGACATCACAGGGGACAGTGATGACTCCATAGAGACACCAGTGACATTAATGGGGACATCTCTGATATCACAGGGGACATCGATGACTTCACAAGACCATGGATGAAACAGGTGACATCACAGAGACACCAGTGACATCACGAGAGACATGGGTGACATCACAGGGACTTGGGTGACATCACTGGGGACCAGTGACATCACATGGGACTGTTGACAATAAAGGGAAAGCCGTGATGTCACAGGGACATTGATGACTTCACAAGCACAGGGTTGACATTAGAGAGACACAAGTGGCATGGAAATTGCTGAAGTCACTGGGGACAGTGATGACATCACAGGGACAGAAATTACACCATTGAGGACCACTGACATCACAGGGGACTGATGAAAACAAAGGAACAGCTGAGATGTCACACGGAGACCATTTACATCACAGGGGACATCAGTGACTTCACCACGACAGGGGTGACATCACAGAGACATCAGTGACATCATCGGGGACATGGGTGACATCACAGGGAAAGCAGTGAAATCATTGGGGACCAGTGACATCACCGGTGACAGTAATTGGAAGCCATGATGTCGCAGGGACATTGATGACATCACAGGGGACATCAGTGACTGTTCAAGGCCAGGGTGACATCACAGAAACACCCGTGACATCATCGGTGACACTGGTGACATCTTAGGGAACAGTGGTGACATCACAGGGGACAGTGATAACACTACAGAGATACCAGTGACATCAACAGGGACATCTCTGACATGACAGGGGACATCAGTGACATCAGAATGTCAGGTGTAACATCACAGAGACACCAGTGACATTACCGGTGACATTGGTGGCCTCACAGGGGATAGTGGTGACATCACAGGGACATCAGAGACATCACTGGGGACCAGTGACCTCACAGGGGACTGTTGACAACAAAGGGACAGCCGTGATGTCACAGGGTTATCGGTGACATCACAGAGGACAGTGGTGACATCATAGAAACAGCAGGGACATCACTGGGGACCAGTGACATCAGGACGGTTGACAACAGAGGGACAGCCGTGATGTCACAGGGACATTGGTGACATCACAGGGGACTTCAGTGACTTCACAAGGACAAGGATGAAATCACAGTGACACCAGTAACATCATCAGGATCATTGTTGACATCACAGAGAATAGTGGTGACCTCACAGGGAGATGGGTGACATCACTGGGGACCAGTGACATCACAAGGGAATGCTGACAACAAAGGGACAGTCGTGATGTCACAGGGACATCACTGACATCAGTGACATGACAAGGACATGGTGCCAGGGCTCGACACAATGGTGACATCACAGAGACAGCAGTGACATCATTGGGGACATTGTTGACATTACAGGGGACAGTGATGACTCCATAGAGACACCAGTGACATTAATGGGGACATCTCTGATATCACAGGGGACATCGAAGACTTCACAAGGCCATGGATGAAACAGGTGACATCACAGAGACACCAGTGACATCACGAGAGACATGGGTGACATCATAGGGACTGGGGACCGGTGACATCATAGGGACTGGGGACCAGTGACATCACACGGGACTGTTGACAATAAAGGGAAAGCTGTGATGTCACAGGGACATTGATGACTTCACAAGCACAGGGTTGACATTAGAGAGACACAAGTGGCATGGAAATTGCTGAAGTCACTGGGGACAGTGATGACATCACAGGGACAGAAATTACATCATTGAGGACCACTGACATCACAGGGGACTGATGAAAACAAAGGAACAGCCAAGATGTCACAAGGAGACCATTTACATCACAGGGGACATCAGTGACTTCACAACGACAGGGGTGACATCACAGAGACATCAGTGACATCCTCGGGGACAGAGGTGACATCACAGGGAAAGCAGTGAAATCATTGGGGACCAGTGACATCACGGGTGACAGTAATTGGAAGCCATGATGTCGCAGGGACATTGATGACATCACAGGGGACATCAGTGACTGCACAAGGCCAGGGTGACATCACAGAGACACCAGTGACATCATCGGTGACACTGGTGACATCTTAGGGAACAGTGGTGACATCACAGGGGACAGTGATAACACTACAGAGACAGCAGTGACATCAACAGGGACATCTCTGACATGACAGGGGACATCAGTGACATCAGAATGTCAGGTGTGACATCACAGAGACAGCAGTGACATTACCGGTGACATTGGTGGCCTCACAGGGGATAGTGGTGACATCACAGGGACATCAGAGACATCACTGGGGACTGTTGACAACAAAGGGACAGCCATGATATCACAGGGTTATCGGTGACATCACAGAAGACCATGGTGACATCATAGAAACAGCAGGGACATCACTGGGGACCAGTGACATCAGAGTGACAACAGAGGGATAGCAGTGATGTCACAGGGACATTGGTGACATCACAGGGGTCTGGTGACATCACAGGGACATGGTGGCACTGCAGGAGACAGTGGTGATATCACCAGGACAGCAGTGACATCATTGGAGACCAGTGACGTCACAGGGGACTGCTTACAGCAATGGGAAAGTCAAGATGTCACAGAGACATTGGTGACAACAAAGGGACGGTCATGATATAACGTGGACATTGGTGACATCATTGGGGATATTGGTGACTTCACAAGGACAAGGGTGACATAAGAGACACCATGACATCATCGGTGACACTAGTGACATCACAGAGACATCCATGACAGCTTTGGGGACTAGTGACCTTGCAGGGGAATGGTGACAACAAAGAGATAGTTGTGACAACCACAGTGATGTTGGGGACATTGGTGACTTCACAAGGACAAGGGTGACATTACAGAGACAGTCACCCCTGGAGCCCCCCGCTACCAAAACCCACCCACAGAAACCCCTGACACCCAGTGACTTCCACTTGCCCCAGGATGGTCCCAGTTCCTATCAATGTGATCCCAGTCACTCCCAGTTACTCCCAGTTGCCTCCAGCATGATCCCAGTTGCTCCAGGTATGTTCCCAGTTGGCTTCCAGCACGGCCCCACTGGCTCTCAACTCCTTCCTGCATAGTTCCAGTCACTCCCAGTTTGATCCTGGTCCCTTACAGACACTCCCACTATGATCCCAGTATGGTGCTGATCACTCCCACTGTGATCCCAGTCACTCCCAATAGGATCCCAGTTGCCCCCAAGGTGGTCCCAGTTGCTCCCAGCCCCAGCCCAGGATGGTTCCTTTCCCTCTCAGGGACTCCCAGTCTGAGTCCAGTATGGCCCCAGGCTCTGTCAGGCACTGCCTGGACAATGCCATTCTCCCTCTGCATGATTCCAGTTCCTCCCAGTATGATCCTGGTATGAGTTCAGTCACCACTGGTGTGATCCCAGGAACTTCCAGACACTTCCAGTAGGAAGCCAGTATGATCCCACTCATCCCCAGTATGGCTGCAGTCCCTCTCACACACTCCCAGTATTACTGCAGTCACTCCCAGTATGATCCCAGTAGGACCCCAGCAGGGGCCCAGCTGCTCCCAGTATGATCCCAGTTGCCCCAGTTCTGGTCCCGCTGGATCCAGTCCATGTCTGGGTCTATCCCGGTGTCCCCCTGTCCCCCACCCCGGTGTCACACCCTTTTCTCTCCCCACAGAGCTCCTGAGCCGGCGGCGGCCGCAGCCCCTCCCCGGGGCCTCGGGCACAGCCGGGACCCCCCAGTCCATCCCCACCCGGAGTTTGGGGGTCGTGTGTGTCCCCCGGCCCTGCTTTTGTTCTCACATCAGCTGCCTGCTGCTCCCAGTTTTCCCACTAAAGCTTTCCAGTACTCTGCAGTCCTGATTTTTGGTGGGGAGTGGGGGAGCTCTGAAATCCTGGGCACGGAGGGAGGGGGGGGGAGGGTTTGGGCACTCCCAGACTCCCAAATCCCGTGAACAGGGGGAGATTTGGCACCCTTGGTGGCTCGGAACCTCATTCCCACGTATCCAGGTCACCCCAAAGCCAAGTTCCAGGAATCCGGGACCAATCAAAACCCACCTCGAACCCCCCAAACCGCATGCAGAGTCATCCCCAGCAGCAGCCAGTGGGAGCGAGCGCTGCTGGAACGTCATTAGTTGCTGGGCAGACCCGGCTCAAACTGAGCCATCACCGAGATCAGCCAATCGACTCGTTTGGGGGACACGTCGGAGCTCCGGGACACTGGATCCCCGTTTTTTGGTTCAGCTGAGCTCCGGGACCTCTGGATGCCCGTTTTTGGGCGCCTCTGAGCTCCCACCTCCCCCGCACCCCACGGACCCTCAGAACTCCCCACCCCCGGGGCTGCAGCGCCTCAAACGACCTTCAGCCAATCAAAAAGCGTTGGCCCATCCTGCGACCAATCAGAGTGCATCTTTCTGATGACTCATCGGTTGCCGGGAAGACGCGAGGAAAAACGAGCCCCCAGCTTTACCTTAAGCCAATCAGAGCGCGTCCAAAACACCCCAAAACGGCCCCGCCCGGCTGGTTTTGGGGTGTCAGTCCCTGCCCGGCGCTGGGGATGGAGCGTGTGTGGGGACCTGGGGCCGTACTGGTGGTACTGGTGGTGCTGGGAGCCCCCCCGGCTGCAGGCGAGGAGCTCTCGGGTGAGCGTGGGGGGCGGGAAGGGACGAAAGGGGGGATAAAAAAGGGGATGGGAGCCACAAAAGTGAGTGCGAGGGGGCTTGGAACCCCCGGAATTAGTGGGAGGAGAGTGGGAGCCCCAAACTTAGAAAGGTGGGGGTCTGGGGATTGGGAGGAGGGTGGGAGAGGGGGAAAAGGGGGTGGGAGAGCAGGAAGAGGGGTGGCAGGGGGGTCCCTCGGTGTCCCTCATCACTGGAGCCCTGCAGCGGTTCCCTGGGGCTCTGGAGGGGTCGTATCCGCACTGAGGGTGTCCCCAACCCCCCTCTCCATCCCCGGGGGGCTGATGGGGGTTCCCCCCCAGCCAAGAGCCGGTGCTGCGGCGGCCGTGGGGCAGAGGGGGATGGGAAAGGGGGATCCGGAGTCTTCTGAGCTCCCAACCTGCTGTGGGGGGCTGGGGGCTGGAGGGGGGTAACACGAGGCACCCCCTGACCCGTGTCCTGCACACACAGGGATGTTCCAGGAGATGATTAAATTCGAGTGTCACTTCATCAACGGCACCGAGCGGGTGAGGTTGGTGGTGAGGAACATCTACAACCGGCAGCAGTACGCCCACTTCGACAGCGATGTGGGGATCTATATGGGAGACACCCCGGATGGGGAGAAGGCGGCCAGGTACTGGAACAGCGTACAGGAAAGGCTGGAGCACCTGCGGGCTGCGGTGGACACGTTCTGCCGGCACAACTACAAGGTGTCCACCCGGTTCCTTGTGAACCGCAGAGGTGAGTGCGAGGCAGAGCGGGTCCCCTCGGGAATTCCCCTGCCCCGGGAACGACCCTGGAGCCCCTCAAACCCTCCCTTGGAATCACCCCTGACCCCTCAGCCCTCCCTGTGCCCATCCCCGTGGCCTTATGCCCCCTCCCAGTGCCCCCTAATCCATCCCAGTCTCTCCCAGTGCCCCCCATTCCATTCCGATCCATCCCAGTTTTTCCCAGTGTCCCCCAGTCCATCCCAGTCTCTCCCCGTGCTCCCCCGCGTCTCCGCCCCGCTAGGGCCACGGCTCTCCCTCCCCTCAGCCAATCAAAGTGCGTCTCTCTAATGACTCATCAGTTGCCGGGCAGACCCGCAGCGCAGAGTTCCCTCTTCAAGACTGTCCCGCTCGGGTCCTTCCCAGTCCTTCCCAGTCATTCCCAGTCTCTCTCATTCCATTCCCAGTCACTCCCACTCATTCTCAGTCCCTCCCAGTCATTCCCACACCCTCTCAATCCATTCCCAGTCTTTCTCAGTTCACTCCCACACCTCCCAACTCTCTTCCCAGTGCCCTCCCAGCTCATCCCCTTCTACCCTAGTCTATTCCCAGTCCCTCCCACTGCCATCCCAGTCCCTCCTAGTGCCACCCAAACCCCTACCAATGTCCTACAAACCCTCTCTCCTCTCTCCCAGTGCCCCCCAGCTCAGCCTAGTGTCTCCCCTTCTTGCCCAGTGCCCCCCAACTCAGCACAGTCTCTCCTGTCTCTCTCCCAGTGCCCCCCAGCGTGTCCATCTCGCTGGTGCCGTCGAGCTCCCAGCCCGGCCCCAGCCCCTGCTCTGCTCCGTGATGGATTTCTACCCTGCGCCGGTGCAGGTGAGGTGGTTCCAGGATGGGCAGGAGCTGCCGGAGCACGTGGTGGCCACCGACGTGGTCCCCAATGGGGACTGGACCTACCAGGTGCTGGTGATGCTGGAAATCCGCCCCCGGCGCGGGGTCACCTCCCCCTGCCAGGTGGAGCACGTCAGCCTGGAGCACCCCCTCAGCCGGCACTGGGCTACGGCCCGGCCCCCCCAGCATGGGGGGACACTGGCAGGGGGGTCAGGGGGCTGGGGGGGCACTAGGGACACTGGGAGGCACCATGGAGGGTGATGGAGAGGCTGAGGAGGAGGTTGGGGGGTCCTGGGAGGGATGGGAGGGGCTGTGGGGAGTCATAGGGGAGACTGGGAGGGAGTTTGGGGGAGCCTGGGAGGGATGGGAGGGAGGTTGGGGAGGGGCTTGGGGTGACCGGGATGGGGATGGGGAAGTTCTAGGTGGGCTGGGAAGGGACTGGGAGAGGTTCAGGGGATGTCCTGGGGGTGATGGGAGGGGGTTGGAGGCTCTTAAAGGGGATGGGAGAGACTTTGTGGATCCCCAAGGGGCTGGGAAGAGACAGGCAGGAGGTTTCAGGGGGTGCTGTGTGGGTTGGGGGAGACCAGGACAGGGTTTGTGAGGTCCTGGATAGTCTCTGGGAGGTTTAGGGGGTCCTGACTCCTCCGGCTCTCCCCAGAGATGCCACAGGACACCGTCCACAGCAAGATCCTGGTAGGGGTCGGGGGCTTCATTTTGGGTTTCATCTTCCTGACGCTGGGGCTCGGCTTCTACCTGCGGGAGAAGGTAAAGGGGGGGTCCCTGGGGGTCGTGTCCCCCTCTTCCCCAGAGCGCCCCACCCTTCTCTCACACCCTTTTCTCTCATCCACAGAGCTCCTGAGCTGCCGGCGGCCGCAGCCCCTCCCCGTGGCCTCGGGCCCAGCCGGGACCCCCTAATCCATCCCCGCCCGGAGTTTGGAGGGGTCGTGTGTCCCCCGGCCCTGCTTTTGTTCTCACACCAGCCCCCTGCTCCCAATGCTCCCAGTAAAGCTTCCCAGTTCTCTGCAGTCCTGCTTATTGGAGGACAATGAGGGGGCTGAAAAAATACTGGAAACAGGGGATTTGGCTACTCCGAGACCCAAAAAATCCTGGAGAAAGGTGGTTTGGGCACATCCAGAGCCCTAATATCCTGGGAACGGGGATGGGGGAGTGGGTTAGGTACTCCCAGACCCACAAAATCCAGGGAACGGAAGGTGATTGGCAGTCAGGGCTACTCAGAAGCTCACTTCCCTGTATTCAGGTCACCCGAAACTCCAATCCCCGAAATCCGGGACCCCCCAAAAACCCACCCTGGCGACCCCAAGCTGCGGGCAGGGTCAGCCCCAGCAGCAGCCAATGGGAGCCAGCGCTTTTGACGCGTCATCAGTTGCCGGGCAGACCCGGTCGAAACGGAGCCCCCACCGAGATCAGCCAATCGACTCGTTTGGGGGGCATATCGGAGCTCCGGGACACCTGGATCGCCGTTTTTGGGTTCAGCAGAGCTGCGAGACCTCTGGATGCACATTTTTGCGTACCACTGGGTTCCCACCTCCCCCGCACCCCACGGACCCCCCAGAACCCCCCACACCCGGGGCTGTAGCGCCTTGAACGGCCTCAGCCAATCAGGAAGCGCTCTTGAAGCCCTCGGCTAATCAGAGCACGTCTCTCTGATGACTCATCGGTTGCCGGGAAGACGCGAGGAAAAACGGGACCCAACTTTGCGCTCAGCCAATCAGAGCGCGTCCAAAACAGTCCAAAAACGGCCCCGCCCGGCTGGTTTTGGGTTGTCAGCACCTGCCCGGCGCTGGGGATGGAGCGTGGGCGGGGAGCTGGGACCGTACTGGTGGTACTGGTGGTGCTGGGAGGCCCCCCGGCTGCGGGCGAGGAGCTCTCAGGTGAGCGAGGGCGGCGGGAAGGCGGGAAAGAGGAGAGAAAAGAGGGGGTGGGAGCCCCAGAAGTGAGAGCGAGGGGGCTTGGAACCCCGGAATTAGTGGGAGGGGAGTGGGAACCCCAAAGTGAGCGCGGGAGGGTCTGGGGATTGGAGGGAAGCTGGGAAAGGGGTGGGAGAGGGGGGAAAAGGGGGGTGGGAGAGCAGGAAGAGGGATGCCAGAGGGGTCCCTCAGTGTCCCCCATCACTGGAGCCCTGCAGCGGTTTCCTGGGGCTCTGGGAGGCGGGGGGCGGATCCGCACTGTGGGGTCCCCAACCCTTCTGTCCATCCCCGAGGGGCTGATGGGGGAGTTCCCCCCAGCCAAGAGTCGATGCTGCGGCGGCCGTGGGGCGGGGGGGGTGGGAAAGGGAGGTCCAGGGTGGCGCCCTGAGCTCCCAACCTGCTGGCAGGGGCTCGGGGATGGTAGGGGGGACGTGGCACCCCTGACCCGTGTCCTTGTCACACAGGGGTGTTCCAGTTTCTAGGAAAGCACGAGTGTTACTTCATCAACGGCACCGAGCGTGTGAGGTTCGTGGAGAGGCTCATCTACAACCGGGAGCAGTTCGTGCACTTCGACAGTGATGTGGGGGTCTTTGTGGGGGACACCCCGAATGGGGAGATCCAGGCCAGGCAGTGGAACAACGACCAGGAAGGGTTGGAGCTCAGACGGGCTCAGGTGGACAGGCTCTGCCGGAACAACTATGAGGTGTCCACCCCGTTCAGTGTGAACCGCAGAGGTGAGTGCGGGACAGAGTGGGTCCCTCGGGAATTCCCCTGCCCCGGGAAGGACCCTGGAGCCACTGAAACCCTCCCTGGGAATCACCCTAGACCCCTCAGCCCTCCCTGTGCCCATCCCTGTGGCCTTGTGCCGCCCCCCAGTCCAATCCAGTCTCTTCCTATGCCCCCCAAGTCCATCCAAGTCTCTCCCATTGCCCCTTATTGCATTGCGATCCATCCCAGTTTTTCCCAGTGTCCCCAGTCCATCCCAGTCCATCCCAGTGCACCCCCGCGCCTCCACCCCACTGCTGCCACCGCTCTCCCTCCCCTCAGCCAATCAGAGCGCACCTTTCCAATGACTCATCGGTTGCCGGGCAGATCCGCAGCGTAGAGTTCCCCCACCACAACTCAGCCTCCTAGTCCCGTTCGGTTCCTTCCCAGTCCCTCCCAGTGATTCCCAGACCCACCCAGTCATTCCAAGAACCTCTCAGTCCATTCCCAGTCCTTCTCAGTTCACTCCCACATCTCCCAACTCTCCCCACTGTCCGCCCCATCCCCCACTCCATCCCCTTCTACCCCAGTCTATTCCGAGTCCATTCCAGTCATTTCCAGTCGCTCCCAGTCATTCCCAGACCCTCTCAGTCCACTCCCAGTCGTTCTCAATTCACTCCCACATCTCCCAGCTCTCTCCCAAGTGCCCCCTCAGCCCATCTCCTTCTACCCCAGTCAATTCCCAGTCCCTCCCAGGGCCATCCCAGTATCCCCCAGAGCCACCCAAATCCCTACCAATGTGCTACAAGACCTCTCCCCTCTGTCCCAGTCTCCCCCAGCTCAGCCCAGTGTCTCCCCCATCTCTCCCAGTGCCCCCCAGCGTGTCCATCTCGCTGGTGCCGTCGAGCTCCCAGCCCGGCCCCGGCCACCTGCTCTGCTCCGTGATGGATTTCTACCCTGTGCCGGTGCAGGTGAGGTGGTTCCAGGATGGGCAGGAGCTACCGGAGCACGTGGTGGCCACCGACGTGGTCCCCAACGGGGACTGGACCTACCAGGTGCTGGTGATGCTGGAAATCCCCCCCCGGCGCGGGGTCACCTACACCTGCCAGGTGGAGCACGTCAGCCTGGAGCACCCCCTCAGCCGGCACTGGGGTACGGCCCGGCCCCCCCAGCATGGGGGGACACTGGCAGGGGGGTCAGGGGGCTGAGGGAGCACTGGGGACATGGGGAGGCACTTTGGGGGGGCAATGGAGATGCTGAGGAGGTTGGGGTGTCCTGGGAGGGCTGAGAGGGGCTGTGGGGAGTCCTGGGGGTGACTGGGAGGGAGTTTGGGAGAGCCTGGGTGAGATGGGAGGGAGACTGGGGGGTGCTTGGAGTGACTGGGAGGGGGTTGGGGAAGTGCTGGGGGGCTGGGAAGGGACTGGGAGGGGTTTAGGGGGGTCCTGGGGGTGATGGGAGGGGGATTGGAGGTTCTTAAAGGGGATGGGAGGGGCTTTGTGGGATCCTGGAGGGGCTGGGAAGGGACTGGCAGGAGGTTTCAGGGGATGCTGGGTGGGCTTGGGGAGACCAGGGCAGGGTTTTCAGGGGGTCTCGGGTGGTCTCTGGGAGGTTTAGGGGGTCCTGATCCCCCCCGGTTCTCCCCAGAGATGCCACAGGACACCGTCCGCAGCAAGATCCTGGTGGGGGTCGGGGGCTTCGTGTTGGGTTTCATCTTCCTGGTGCTTGGGCTCGGCTTCTACCTGCGGGAGAAGGTAAAGGGGGGTCCCCGGGGGTCGTGTTCCCCCTTCCCCAGAGCATGTGAGCCCCCCCAGCCCGCTGTCACCCTCTTTTCTCTCCCCACAGAGCTCCTGAGCTGGTGGTGGCCGCAGCCCCTCCCCGTGGCCTTGGACCCAGCTGGGATCCCCCAGTCCATCCCCACCTGGAGTTTGGGGGGGTCGTGTGTCCCCCCCGGCCCTGCTTTTGTTCTCACACCAGCCACCTGCTGCTCCCAGTGCTCCCAGTAAAGCTTCCCGGTTCTCTGCAGTCCTGGTGTTGAAGAGCAGGTGCCCTCCCAAAGCACCCCCAGAATCAGCTTATCCAAACTGTACAATGGTTGGCACCCGTTGTCTTTCTGCTTCCAGGAGTGTGTATTTTTCTGCCATGTCTGGTTCAATGTTTTCACAGCTTATTGGCTCAAATTGTATCTGCTTTTTTAAAGAAAAAGGGGGAAGTGTTGGGATTTTTAGTGCAAATATAGAGGATATGCTGCAGCTCTGAGATCATAACCTTATGTTGCAATTGTGAAAACATGCTCTGTTGTTCTGATGGCCTTCTGATGGTACCAGGATGTGAAAGATCTCCCAAGAGAAGCAGTAGCAAAACTGGATATAGAAAACAGGGTCTCAGTACCGGCTATCGGAGTGGGAAAGGACATAAAGAATATTAAAGAGACAGAGCTGATAGAAGAGTATTGTTAGAAAACTGGATAAAAGACTGCCACTTGATTCCAATCAACGGCGCTCTCTGATCATCACATTGGTGTGCTGAGTCGTCCGTGCTCGCATGAAAACCCCCCAGGCAGGTGCCCTCCCAAAGGCCCCCAAACATCCCCAACATCCCCAGTGATGTCACCACTGTCCCTGTGATGTCACTGGTGTTCCCAATGATGTCACAGCTGTCCAGTTGATGTCATCACCATCCCTGTGATGTCACCAGACAGTTGTGATGTCAGTGGTCTCCAGTGATGTCACTGCTGTCCCCACAGATGTCACCACTCTCCCTGTGATGTCACTGATGTCCCCAGGGGTGGTCCCTGTGTCCCCAATGATGTCACCACTGCCCCTGTGATGTCACCACTGTCCCCAGTGATGTCACTGATGTCCCTGTGATGTCACCACTTTCCCAAGTGATGTCACTGATGTCCCTGTGATGTCACTAGTGTCCCCAGGGGTGTCCCCAGTGTCTCCAATGATTTCACCACTGTCCCTCTGATCTCACCGACAACCCCAATGATATCACTGCTGTTCCTGTGATGTCACCGCTGTCCACTGTGATGTGACTGGTGTCGCTATGATGTCACCCCTGTCCTTGTAAAGTCACCACTGTCCCCTCTGATGTCACTGATGTCTGTGTGACATCACAGCTGCCCCGTTGTTGTCACCAGTCCCCTGTAATGCCATTCGTCCTCAATGATGTCACTGATGTCACTGTGATGTCACCACTGTCCCCTGTGATGTAACCAATGTCCCTGATGATGTCACTAGTCTCTCTTTGATGTCACCGATGTCCTTGTGAAGTCACCAATGTCCCCTGTGATTTCACTGCTCTCCCTGTGATGTCACAACTGTCCCCAATGGTAACACCATGTCTCTGTGATGTCACCGATGTTCCTGTGATGTCATCGATGTCTCCTGTGATGTCACTGATAGTCCTGTGACATCACAGCTGTCCTTTTGTTGTCAACAGTCCCCTCTGAGGTCACTGGTCCCCACTGATGTCACCGATGTCCCTGTGATGTCACCAATGTCCCTGTGATGTCACTGGTCTCCAGTGATGTCACTGCTGTCCTCACAGGTGTCACCACTGTCCCCTGTGATGTCAATGGTGTCCCAGGGGTGGTCCCTGTGTCCCCAGTGATGTCACAGCTGCCCCTGTGATATCACCTCTGTCCACTGTAATGTCACAGGGGTCACTGTGATGTCACCCCTGTCCTTGTGAAGTCACCACTTTTCCCTCTGATGTCACCGATGTCCCTGTGACATCACAACTGTCCCTTTGTTGTCAGCAGTCCTCTGTTATGTCACTGGTCCCCAGTGATGTCATTGATGTCCCTGTGATGTCTCCAGTGTCACCAATCATGTCACTGGTGTCTCTGCAATGTCACCCCTGGCCTTGTGCAGTCACTGATGTCCCCTGTGGTGTCAAAGCTTCCCTTTATTGTTACCAGTCCCCTGTGATGTCACTGGTCCCCAATGATTTCACTGTTTTCCCAGTGATGTCACCACCGTCCCTTGTGATGTCACCAATGTCCTCTGTGATGTCAGGATCTCCCTGTGACATCATGGCTGTCCCTTTGTTTTCACCAGTCCCCTGTGATGTCATTGGTATTCAGTGGTGTAACCTCTACCCCTGTGATGTCAACACTGTCCCCAGTGACTTCAGCAATGTCCCCAATGATGTCACTGGTGTCTCTATAATGTCAACCCTGTGCTTGTGAAGTCATTGATGTCCCTGTGACATCACGGCTGTCCCTTTATTGTCAACAGTCTCATGCAATGTCATTGGTCTGCAGTGATGTCACCACTGTCCCCTGTGATGTCTCCCATGCCTCTGATGATGTCACTGGTGTCTCTGTGATGTCACCCCTGGCCTTGTGAAGTCATCGAGGTCCCCTGTGATGTCACAAATGTCCCAATTGATGTCACTGGTGTCTCTTGGGTGTCATCACTGTCCCCTGTGATGTCAACAATGTCCCCAATGATGTCACTGGTGTCTCTGTGATGTCACTGTGCCAAGCTGTGGCACCATGGTCCCGTCATGTCACCAATGTCAGTGATGTCCCTGTGACATCATGGCCGTTCCTTTGTTGTCAACAGTCCCTTGTGATGTCACTGGTCCCCAGTGATGTCACTGCTGTCTCTCTGATGTCACTACTGTCCCCAGCAGTGGCACCATGTCCCTGTGAGGTCACCAATGTCTCTGTGATGCCTTTTACTTCACTGATGTCCCTGTGACATCACAGCTGTCCCTTTGTTTTCACCAGTACCCTGATGATGGTCCTCAGTGATGTCACTGCTGTCTCTGTGATTTCATCCCTGTCCCTGTGATGTCATTGATTTCCCTGTGGCATTGCTTCTGTCCCTTTGTATTCACCATTCCCTCGTATATTTCGCTGTTCCTCTGTGATTTCACCGATGTCCCTGTGATGTCACCACTGTTCCCTGTGATGTCAGCAATGTCCCAGATGATGTCACTGGTGTCTCTGTGATGTCATCCCTGTCCTTGTGAAGTCACTGATGTCCCCTGTGATGTCACTCATGTCCCTGTGACAACAGGGCTTAACCTTTGTTCTCATTAGTCCTCTGCAATGTCACTGGTCCCCAATGATATCACTGTGGTCCCTCTTATGCCACCACTGACGTCAGCGCTGGTACCTTGTCCCTGTGATTTCTCCAATGTCCCTGTGATATCACCCGTCCTTTGTGATGTCACCACTGTCCCCTGTGATGTCACTGTTGACCCTTGTGATGTCAGCAATGTCCCTGATGATATAAATGGTGTCTCTGTGATGTCACCCCTGTGCTTGTGATTCCACCACTGTGCCCACCGGTGGCATCATGTCCCTGTGACGTGACCGGTCCCCAATGATGTCACTGATGTCCCTGTGACATCACGGCTGTCCCTTTCTTGTGACCAGTCCCCTGTGATGTCACTGACCCTAATGATATCACTCATGTCCCCCTGATGTCACCACTGTCCCCTGTGATTCAACAATGTCTCTGATGATGTCACTGCTCTCTGTCATGTCATCTTTGTGTTTGTGATGTCACCAATGTCCATGTGACTTCACTGCTTTACCTTTTTTGTCAGCAGCCCCCTGTTATGTCACTGGTCCCCAGTGATGTCACCCATGTCACTTTGATGTCATCAATATCCTCGATGATGTCATTGTTGTCTCTGTAATTTCAACCCTGCCCTTGTGAAGTCACCAGTGTCCTATTTGATGTCATTGATTTCCCTGTGACATCACAGCTATCCTTTCATTGTCCCCTGTGATGCCACTGGTCCCCAATGATGTCACCACTGTCTTCAGCAGTGTCACCATGTCCCTGTGATATTAATGATTTCCTGGTGACATCATGTCTGTCCTCTTGTTTTCACCAGTCACCTGTGATGTCACTGGTCCCCAGTGATGTCACTGCTGTCCTTGTGGTGTCAGCACTGTGTCCAACAATGGCACCTTGTCCCCGTTATGTCACTGATATCATTGTGATGTCACCAGACCCCTATGATGTCACCGATGTCCCTGTTATATCACCTATGTCACCGATGTCACCGATGATGTCACTGGTGTCTCTGTGAGGTCACCCCTGGCCTTGTGCAGTCACTGATGTACCCTGTGACATCACAGCTTTCCCATTGTTGTCACCATTCCCTGTTTATGTCACTGGTCCCCAGTGATGTCACCGATGTCCCTGTGACATCACGGCTTTCTCATTGTTGTCACCAGTCCTCTGTTATGCCACTGGTTTCCAATGACATCACTGCTGTCTCTGTGATGTCACCACTGACCCCAGCGGTGGTTCCACTGTCCCCATGATGTCCCTGATTTCCTTGTGATATAAGGGCTTTCCTTTTTTGTCACCGGTCCCTTGTGATGTTACTGGTCCCCAGTGATGTCACCAATGTCCTTGTGAAATCACCGATGTCCCCTGTGATGTCAGTGATTTCCCTGTGATACCACACCTGTCCCTTTGTTTTCAACAGTCTCCTGTGATGTCACTGATCCCAGTGATGTCACCTATGTCCCTGTGATGTCACCACTGTCCCCTGTGATGTCATTGATATTTCCAAGATGTCACTGATGTCTCTTTGATGTCAGCCATGCACTTGTGATGTCACTGATATCCCATGTGATATCACTGATGTCCTTGTGACATCTCAACTGTCTCTTTGTTTTCGCCACTTCCCTGTGATGTCACTCATCCCCAGTGATTTCATCCATGTCTCTTTCATTAGAGTTAGGGTTAGGGTTAGAGATAAGGGTTAGGCT